CACGAGATATAAAAGAAATTCTTAACATTTTTACGCTCCAATATTGCAAGAGTTATCGCGTCATTAGATTGCCGAAAAGTCGAACGATAAAGCATCACATGCAATATTTTTAACTCGAAGTATTATTAGAGAAATAATAAATACTTGTAAGGTTTGCAACAAAACAATAATTTATAATTTTGGACTTTTGTCATTACGTTTTGTACTTGAATAAATAAAATAATAATTTAATTAAAATTGAATAAATAAATTACGCAAAATACGCGCTTCGAAATTTATCGTTGCGATATAATTAATATATGATTTAACATATCTAAAAGATAATTAATTATATTAATCATATCAAATTATTCCCCTATAGTTGGCACGTGTGGAAAAAGAATTTGACGGAGCGTCTCGGAGCATCACTACATTTCTGTCTCTCGTCGCGTGAATGATAATAACTATAATAAATATTGTAGGAAAGAAATTTGTGACGTAGCGTCTCCCATTATTACAATACTATCCAAGTATCGCCACGCAAATAATAACAAGGCTATAAGACATAAACAACAGAGCGCTAATGTTTACATCACCAAGGCTGTATACCATGTTATTGATTCGCAGCCGAAATTATTTGCGTATTATGACGTATATATAAGCGTAATATTAAATTATACAAATATTTTAAATTATAGATTGATTATTTATTAAACGATTGATATATCATGAAGCCTTTTTCGTAATGCTAATTATTCGATCTTGCGATTCGATTGTTTAATTGCGTCAATTTTCTCAATTCAAATTATATTAAAATAATCAAAAAGTCGTACGATAAAGTATGGGACAAAATATCTTTACTATAAATATCGATAGAAAAATAGTTATTGTTCGTATGGATTGCAACACGAAACGATAATTTATAATTTAGATTTCTATCACTTCGATTCTTACTTTGAGAAAGATTCTTACTTGCATTTTATCGGTTTGAGAATTTTAACGGATTAATGAGATTATTGCGACTAAAATGGCATTAAACACAACATAAATCAGATAATTTTTAGCTAAATTAATAATAAAAATTTTGAGTATATATTTAATTAAAAAGTATCTGGTTTATGTCGTGTTTCATTCGTCGTGATCTATTTTAATCACGAAAAAATCATTATTCCATTAAAGTTATTTTCAAACAGGTAAAATGCAAAATATAAAAGTTTTATTTTCTATGGTAATATGTGATACATATATATTTGCAAAATACTATACCTATATAAAGGGATAAGCCCCTCGCGTATAAGAGACTTCGAAACCCTTTGATGATACGTCATCTCGTTTGCTCTTCATTCATTCTCTCGCTTTCGATGACATTGGAGACCGTTACTTATTTATAATAATTTATCTACAATATTCAAACATTTTATGTAACAGAAACTAAAACATTTATGTTTTATTCTAAAAAGTAATTTTTTTTAAATAATTTTAATGAATTAATGATATTTTTACGATTAAAATGATATTGAATACGATATAATTCGGATAATTTTTACTTATTGTTAGATAAAAAAAAAAATTTATTATCTAATTTTTAAATTTGTACCTAATTAAAATTTATCCGAATAATGTCGCGTTTTTTTATGTCATTTCATTTGTAAAAATCTTATCAACTAAAATTACGTTTAATAATATAAGAAATATAAAAATTTTATAAAAGTCTTTATATATCCAATAAGTGCACTTTGTTTAACTTATTTTCGCTCCGAAGCGTGTGATGGATAAATAAAGGCGAAGAACCTCGTTTTTCGAGCGAAAATAGTATTAAGCGTATCTATCGTTATGTTTATATTCAAAAGACTTTGTAATATTAATTATCTTATTGTTTTAATTAATATCAAACATTTAAAGCAATATTAAATTATGCTTTTAATTTATATAACTTTTTATTATTAATTCTTTTTTATAATTATATTATTCAATTAATTTTTTAATTTATGAATTCAGTTGGATGCAGTAGTGCGCATCGATGCATATTAAAAGCTGTTATATAGACAAATTTATATAAGCAAAATTAATTATATTTTTCTTAGTTTTAACCCTGTTCTATCGTTTTTTAAGGAGTTTTGATTGTTGACAGCGTTAATTAATTTTGTCACATTTATATGATCGCCGGTGATAGTATCAGCTGTCAGATTTTCGCAAAATGTCATAATATATCAAAAAATCGCGATATCTAGTGCAATATTGTTTTTTTAGCGTATAAAATGTTAAAAGTGTTTTTTCTATCTTGTGGAATTCCACTCAGAATTTTAATTAAAAGATCGGAAATGTAAAAATAATACTTTTCTCGGGAGATTTAGATATGTATTTGTACGACATTAATTTAAAAAACGATTAAAAAGAGAGCTTTTCTCTATTATTGTCTTTTTCACTTTCTTTTATTTAAAAATATTAATATAAAAAATATAACTATAAC